TGGCAAAACTGTGGATGAGTTTTAGATCTGGAAAAGCAGGTCTCAATATTCCACTGACTTAATTATACTGCACAGCATGTCCTCACATGCAGGTGGATGGGTGGACGGAGAGCTCCACATAAAGTTACAGGGTTTAGGGTGGATGGCACAAGCAACATAAAGACATCAGACAGATTGAGGGTGCCATTTACACATGTAGGTATATCTGTGTACACATCAAGCAAAAAATACATGTTTTGTACAATATATGTATCCTTGTAGAGTGTAACCAGGCACGGGTGAGTAATGCCTCCAAGTCACAGGCAGGTTCTCTTCAGTATTAGTAAAGCATGCTCTGCTCTGAGAAAACCTGATAGGCTTAAACCCAATCTTATAAAATATATGCAATAAGGAGCAATTATTCACGCTATCAAAAGATTCTTCACCTTATTAAAGGATTTACATTAAGGTCCCATCAAACTACAAGGACTCCACTGCATATAGAATGTCAAAGACTGCCTAAGACTTCTGAGGCAACTATATAAACCAACTACATAAAATCAAGGAGCCACATCTGAACTGAAATTTGTTTGATGGTTTGTGCTAAATAAAACAAGTCGAGGCTGGGGATGTGGCTCAAGTGGTAGTGCACTCACCTGGCATGAGTGGGGTGCTGGGTTTGATCCTCAGCACCACGTAAAAATAAAATAAAGATGTTGTGTCCACCAAAAATTAAGAAATAAATATTTTTTTAAAAATTCTCTCTTAAAAAGAAAAAAAAAACAAGTCATTTGATTTGTATCACTATTACCAGTTTTCTGTATAGGAGCAAAATAATGGCACCATATCAATTAAAGCAGGTATCTGATTCAGGGACAAAAAGGCACATCCTAATAAAGGTTTTGCTGTTTAATAGGGACTTTACTATTACTGTCAAAAAAAAAAAAAAAAAAAACAACAAGTTATCCTCCTTGATTCATATATGTTTTAAAGACTGAATAATAATAATTGCAGGTAATACTTATATAATACTGTTAATCAGGCACTGTTCTAAGTGAGTCATTTCATCCTCTTAATGACTTTCATGTGCAGTTACTATTATTATCTGGGCTTTATAAATGAGTAAATGGAACTTAAATGATGTCTAAGGTCAGGAGGCTTTAACTGGCAGAGCTAAGGTGAAGGCAGGCAGTCTTTTTTTTTTCTTTTTTTAGTTAAAGGGCTATACTCTTAAATCACCTTCCTAAGTGCCCCTTGAAATGGCAAGCATGTGCAGAAGGGAGAATTTCACATGGAAGAGGAGTAGAGATGGGGCCTACTTAGGTTATTAGCAACAAGTTCAAGCAAGTGGTGCTGAGGACCTACACAATGCAATGAAATAGGATAAAAAATAAAGAAAGGGGTTTGGGGATATAGTTCAGGGGTAGAGTGCTTGCCTAGCATGTGCAAGGCCCTGGGTGCAATCCCCAGTGGAAGGAAGGAAGGAAGGAAGGAAGGAAGGAAGGAAGGAAGGAAGGAAGGAAGGAAGGAAGGAAGGAAGAAAATTCCTTTCTATATAACTATAATGCATCAATTAAAAAATAAGTGACTTGGGAGGCTGAGGTAGGAAGTCACGAGTTCAAAGCCAGCCTCAGCAACTTAGTGAGGCACTAAGCAACTCAGCAAAACCCTGTCTCTAAATGGAATATAAATAAGGAATGCAGATGTGGCTCAGTGGTTAAATCCCTGGGTTCAATCCCTGGTATAGATAGATCGATAAATAGATGGAAGACCACTAGAGTTGAGGAAGGGGATCAGGAGGAGGGATGAGAGGTGGCTGGCAATGGGGATTGAAGTGGGGAAAACTATGCTATATGCATTTATGAATATATCAAAATGAACTCTGCTATTATGCATAACTATAATACACTAAAAATATTTAAAAATTTAAAAAAGAGGATGATGCTGTTGGAAGTTAGGCTAGAGGAAGGGTAGTCACACAAAGGAGGTTTCTGAAGAATTCATCTATTTCTTGATTTGGGTATTATTAAGTATGTGAAAAATCAAAGGGCACAGTTACATGTGTTCTGTTTATACACATATTTTCATGAATAAAAAGCTAAAAGATGCTGGGTATGGTGGTAATGCCTGTACTCCCAGGGGATTGGGAGGCTAAAGCAGGAGGATCTCAAGTTCAAAGCCAGCCCTAGCAACTCAGCAAGACCTGCCTCTAAATAAAATATAAAATAGGGCTAGAATGTGGCTCAGTAGTTAAATACCCCTGGCCTGGGTTCAATCCCTGGTACCAAAAAAAAAAAAAAAAAAAAAAAAAGTTAAAAGATGATACGGTACATGCCTGTAATTCCAGCTACCTGAGAGGCTGAGGTAGGAGGATTATTAGAAATCTGAGTCTAGCCAAGGCAACTTGCAAGACCATGTCCAAAATAAAATAAAATGATCTGGAAATGTAGCTCAGTGGTGGAATGCTTGCCTAACCTGTGTAAAGTGTTGGGTTCAATGCCCAATACCACACATACTCAAAAAAGCTAAAAGATGAAAAGATGGATTTTGGAACTATTATAAATGTTTTTTGTCTTCCTAAATCCTCCGAATGTTCTAGAATGTCATTATATTAAGCATTAGCAGCATGTCACTAAGTAAGGCATCATGGAACACATAGGCTATGTGATTTAGTAGCAATTATTCATGTGAATAATTCTCAAATCTCTTATTGTGCGGCCTGAGATATGCAGTTAACCAGATGTCAGCTGAGACACTGGCAATATACCATCATGGTAAAATAGGTTCCRCTAAAAGTACACTAACTGGATTCAAATTCTGCCATTGCCCCAGGGATTGAACCCAGGGGCCCTAAATCACTGAGGCACATCCCCATCCCTTTTTATTTTTGATTTTAAGACAGGGTTTCACCCGGTTGCTTATAGACACGCTAAATTGCTGGCTTTGAACTTGCGATCCTCCTGCTTCAGCCTCCCAAGCTACTGGGATTACAGGTGTGAGACATCACGCCCAGCTAGATGTGTGATCTTAAATGTGCTACTTAACTCTCTGCAACTGTAAAACTGGTGTAACAGTACCTAACTCACAGAACTTGTCTGCATATTAAGGAAGCACTGATGGTCATGCTTGGCTGTGAAGTTGTACAGGATACTCTAGTAAACATTAGCTCTTTTCCTCATCAACATTTAGGTCCTTAGCCATGGATTCCCACCTTAAAGTCAGTTATCTTTTACTTTTCTTTATCATTTTGCTAGTATCTAAATAATTTACTATTATTCTCTGCCATGTTCCAAAAATAATTTAAAGTATAGATTCATCTATTTTTCTAAATGGTACAATCAGATCACAGGAAATCTGAAAAACAGAAGTAATGTACTTTTAGGAGTGTAGTCAGCCTGCCCTGAAGGGGCCTAACATGATCTGCTGCAACCTACAGTGGTCACATTAGAATGCTTTAAGATGGATTATTGATGCAGAAGGGACTCAGAGTGCACACTAGTCAACACACAGTCACAACAAGAAACAGTCACAATTTTTGTTTGTTCAGTTTTTGTTTTTGGCAGTACTGGGGATTGAACTCAGGRATTTGTACTTGCAAGGCAAATGCTCTACCACTGAACTACAACCGCAGCCCACAGCCACAATTTTACCATGAAAATTTCCAATCCCATAGAAGTGTTAGTACAGTACAATGATTACTCCACCTAGTCTCACCAGCTGTTAACATTTTACCCCATTTGCTTTCTCTTCTCTTCCCACACACATCTTATTTATTTTGATGAATCATTTGACAATTAAGTTGCACACAGCATGCCATTTTATCCATAAATCCGCCTTTATCTCCCAAGAACATTATCCTATGTTACCATAATGACATAATCACATCCAAGTAAGTTCACAGAACTATAATACTATTTTCCAATATATTAATAGATAATAGTATTAATATACTATATAATATTGTTACTTCATATAGTCTACATTCATATTTTTCCAATTGTCCAAATGACTTTTTTTTTTCCTAATTCAGGATCCAATCAAAGATCATAGTGCATTTAAACTGTCACATTTACAATCCACTCTCCTTGTGTTGAAGGCTGCTTACCAAAACAAAGAAACAAAGCTGAGGTCATAGCCAGGCGAGGTGGCACTCGCCTATAATCCCAGTGGCTCTGGAGACTGAGGCAGGAGGATCGCAAGTTCAAAGCCAGCCTCAGCAACTTACTGAGGCACTAAGCAACTCAGCAAGACCCTGTCTCTAAATAAAATATAAAAAGGGGCTGGGGTCAAAGCTCAATGCTTAAGTGCCCCTGGGTTCAATTCCACCACCCTCCCAACCCAAAATAAAAAGAATGAAAGAAAAAGAAAAACACCTGAGGTCATGGGGGAAGCGCTCCAGAGCAATTCATTACCCATACGGAAACATCAGATGATACAAAGCCTCCAGGACATTTCACTCCAACCTTTCACCCCAGCGGAGGATAGAGGCAGTCTGAGCCAAGTAAGAGGATAGAGGCAGTCTGAGCCAAGTAAGACTAAGACCCTCAGTACAAGGTACCCACTTCAGGGTGCATATTAGCAGTCTTCAGCCCTCCTCTGGAGGGCCTGTGAAATATCTGAATTAAAAAATATTTGACCATTTAGGCCTTCCCTGATTCTAGCTTCCCCTTCACCCTGTGAGGGAGAAAGCTCCCGGCCCTTCTCTTTCTCCCTCTGTCCCATTTCCTACTATTAACTGACCCTGAGCCAAGATTAGCATGGTCCTTGTAGTTACAGAAACAGAGACAGCTAGACCACTGGGAGCAGGGAGCAGGAACCAGGCTAATTACGGCAGACTGCAACAAGGGCAGGGTGATAAGGACAGTGGCAGGAGGGCTTAGGGATATAACCCTCTCTGCTATGGCCCAGGTAGCTTTCTACTCAGGAAAGGACTCCACAGACATCAAAATATGCCTGTAAGTTCCCAAAGCTGACCAGGCTCACGGCAGGACCAGCACCCCAACCATCCCCTGGACTCTTACCTGACTGGAACACATATCGGGCCAGGCCCTGCATTAGCTCTGCTGGCCATGTTGGTGGGGCAGACTCCCCAGTTTCTCTCTTTAGGCGAAATGTTAACTCAAAGCCAAAACCACTAGGTCCATCTGTTCCAGTAAATCTGAAAAGAATAAAAAGCAAATGTTTTAAGTTCAACTACCTTAGGAAAAACATTATTTGAAAGTCTAAGTCTCCCTGCTTTGTGTGGTGGCCTCAGCATACAAACCTTTTATTCAGGGGAATTTTCCAGGGTATGAGCCCTGGGGGGAGAAGGACCTCGGGACCTCAAAAGACTTTAAGGAACCAGAATTCTTGCCTTACCCTCCTGCTAGCTGTGGACACATGTATAAGACCTGAGCCTAGCCAAACTTCCTTCCCTGCTGGCACTGTGAATTATGAGTTCCAGATTTTGTGGCTCTAGAACAATCCTTTTTGTATGACTGAAGCATCATTACTGAAAAGCTTTCTCATCATGCTCCTTACTCCTTCAAGCTGCTAATGAGCACCCACATTTAGTTTGCTAAGAATATGTGTCCTGTGAAAGGCTGTGTGCTCTGTGAGGATAAGACCCTAGGTTCATTCTACCCCATAGGGTACATCCTTGGCTGCACTGGCTGGCCTCCAAAGTCAACACTGTAGATTGGTCCCCAAGTAGATTCCAAACACGGGGCGGCCCTCTTCTTCCTGAAACCTAGCACCCCACGTGCCTGCATCAGTCAACACTGCTCCTCTGGAAACCACAGGCACTCTTGAATCATTGGAACCTGAAACATTACAGTTTGCCTCCCTTCCCATCTCTAGGTGACCCTGAATGATGAGGAATACTGGTTCTGTAACCATGATTCCTTCCTGTGGCAATAAGACAAGGTCAGAATGCTGGCCTTACTGTCTGCTAGGAAATGCTCAGGAGTTCTGAGTCTCAGGGAAGTTCCTGAAATAGACTGGTGCCAGAGAGAGCAATGATGTGGGTCAGAGAGTAGAGCCTGGTTAGTTGATGCCATACCTCCTCAGGTGAGGGAGGCATACAGGCAGGAGTACTTGAGAGCRCTGAGGCTTGCCAGCACAGGAAGGGTTAACAGTTATAATATGTACATGATATAATTTTCAGTAATTATATCTTGTGCAAACTCGAGCTACAATGACTATACACATGTAAACTCCCCAGCATACAAATACAAACCATAAACTAAGATGACAGCCAATATCTTGCTAGCCAAGCTTCTGGAACAGGCGATCAAAGGGAATATTCTCAAGGGCTGATGATACAGTCAATGCCCAACCCTGGAATTCCTTGTAGCATTTTTTCTTCATCAACAACCCCAAGAGGCCAGGGAGAAAGACTGGAGAGAAACAAACAGAGTCCAATGTCTGAAGTTGATATTAGTCCTAGCCTTGGCTTTGGGTGCTTGGAGGAACTTGGCTCTCTAGCACCATGGGGAAAAGTCACCTCTGAGAAGCTAAATTCAATTTCTTTTGGATTGAAAATAAATTCTTAGATGGTTAAGCCCAACTATATTTTAAGGAAGTATCAATAGTCTGCATTTTCTCCAATTATTTAGCTATGTAGGAAGCAGGCTCCATTTGGAGAGTACACTTGTAGAATTTTGGAGATTGGCTAGGAAAGATGCTTAAAAGTGACACTACTTAAGCTGAATCACCCTGTTGGGGTCAATTCAATGAAGAGGAGCTGAGAGAACAGCTAGGCAAACAGGTTGCAAAAGCTGCCTCCCTGGGACTGCAATTTTGAAGAGGTGAAAACACATAGGTAATCCAAGACTGACTCTGAAATTCTGCAAAAGGAGATAGGTCACTAGGGCAAAGGGAAGATTTTTTAAGCAGTCACCAATTAGAGGCAGCTTTGTAAAATGTATTAGACCATTATTCCAAGGCTTTCATCTTGGTCCAAGGAAAATACATGATTTCTAACCACAAAAACTTGAAAAACAAACTAAAAGGAACATGTTCATCTTGGCTGCACAATGGGAGAACACTGAGATGGAGATCCATGTCCACATAGAAATCACTTTACTAAGGAGGGCTGTTTGCACACACATATGGATGTGCATCTGCGCACATGCATGTGTACACCATCTGTCTCCACACAGGGTGCTTTCTGGGCCAGCTCTGTGGTGGGGAGGCCAGTCCTCATTTGGCTATAGAGAGGGCCAGGCCTGGCCAGATGGTCTCCACCTGCATTTGATTACCACCCACTAGGCTGACTGGACACTGCCTCTACACTCTGAAACACGAGTTTCAGGATAAACTCATAACCTGGGCCTGTCAGAAAGTCTCTTTTTCAAAGCAGGCTGCTCAGGCAATAGTCAAGTGACAAGGTCATTCAGTATTTAAAGTCTCCTGGAGGGGCCTGGCTTGGTCTGCATTTCCTCACATGAGGGCTTCTCCTGCCAAAGTGGTTTTGTCTGACCAGTGAATGAATCCCCTCCAAGGGAGCAGCTGTCTCTCATGTCTTCTGAGAGAGGAAAGCATGAAAGGAAATTGGCATGTGCTGTAGAAGGTGGGATCTGGGTCAGTGCAAAGAATTTTTCCAACATAGAAGGCTGCTAAAATACTGGCTAGTATAAATGGGGGTCAATAAAAATTTCTTCCTGTAGGAATTTTTAAAGAAATGAGTAAAAGATTCTCCCCAGTCTGGTAGGGTCAGGGTGAGGGTTCTGTCTTATTGCAGAAGGATGAATGAGATGGGCCCTCAAGACTGTTTCAGCTCAAGAATCCCTAATCCCACTCATTGGAGTATCCCAGGGAGAAGCTGGACAGCAGCTGGCAAGCCAACACAATGGCTGTATCAGCCTCAYGGTAACATCAAACCTGTCAATTGAACACATGCCTTGAATCCTACACACACAGATGACTGACCATCAGAGCTTACCCAAAGGCCTCTCCTGAATCATATCAACTAAGGAGGTATCAATTAATCTAAGAGGTCAAAATGACTTCAGGCAGGAGGCAAACAGAAACCTAGGTAAGACTCTCTAGAGGAATTACATAGCTCAGGACACAGAAAGAGCCAATCTGAAAGCTAGCATCTAATGCTTGACATCACTAGTCATTAGGGAAATGCRAATCAAAACCTCAGTGAGCCATGCATGGTGGCATTACCCAGCTACACAGGAGGATCAGAACTTTAAGGCCAGCCTGGACACCTTAGAAGACCCTGTCTTGAAATAAAATCAAAAGGGCTGGGGATGAAGCTCAGTGGTAGAGTGCTTGCCTAGCRTGCTCTGGTTTCAATTCCCAATACTACAAAAATAAAACAACAACAAAAACACCATCTCAGTGAGATAACATTCCATAGCCTCCAGGAGGGCTAAAATAAGACAGACAATAACAAGTGTTGACAGGAATGAGGAGAAATCAGAACATTCTTGCACTGCTAATGGAGGATGTTAAATGGTGAAGTTGCTCTGGAAAACAGTTCGGCAGTTCCTGAAAGGGTTAAAACAGTTTACCATATGACACAGAGTTCCACTTTTAAGAAGATACCCAAAAGAACTGAAAACGTGCTCACATAAAAACCTGTGCACCAATGTTCATAGTAGCCTTATTCATAATAGCTAAAAARTGGAAACAACCCATCAGCTACAGAATAAACAAAATATGGAATATCTGTACAATGATATACATGAAACATTATTTGGCAATAAAAATGAATGGTGTATGGGCTGGGATTGTGGCTCAGCGGTAGAGCACTCGCCTAGCACGGGCGGGACCTGGGTTTGATTCTCAGCACCACAAAAAAATAAAGGCATTGTGTTGTGTCCATCTACAAAAAAAAGATTCTCTTTCTCTCTCTCTCAAAAAAAAAAAAAAAAAAAAGAATGGTGTATACATACTTACTACAACATACATAAACCCTGAAAATATTATGTTAAGTGAAAGAAGCCAGACAYAAAAGATCACTTATGTGATTCCCTTTAYAGGAAGTGTTCACAATGAACAAATTTATAGAGATAAAAAGCAGATCAGTGGTTGCCAGGAGGGGCTGGGATGAAGAGGGAATGGAGAGTGATTTTGCTAAAGGGTACAGGATTTCTTTGGGGTATGATGGAAATGTTCTAAAATTTAACAATTTACAACCTTGTGAATATACTAAAAACAACTGAATCAATATGTACACTTTAAGGAGGTGAATTTCAAGGAGGTATTTAAAAAAAAAAAAAAACAGTTCAGGTACACCTAAATGCTAGAGAAGGCAAGGCCAACCATGCCAAATGAACCAGGTCTTTACCTACCTCTATGTATTAATAACCACTACAATTTACTTAATACTGAAGTTTGAGGCCTTTGAATAAACCACTTTTCCTATGTTTTATCATTTATACAGCTCAGCCACTGTGATCCTCATTTAAGTAAGATGAGAAATATTGAGGGAAATATTTCAGTAATATTCCATAAGCCACAGAGCAAGATATTTAATCTCTGTGCCTCAGTTTCCTCATCTATAAAATGGGGATAATAACAATAACTACTTCACAAAGTTGTTTCAAGGATTACACGGTTAGGAAATTACACTGTAAACATTGTGTGACTTCAATTTTACTAGGTGAAAGGAAGCAAGTCACAAAACACCTGTATTGTATGATTCCATTGATATTACTATGATTTTTAATACATAACTTATATTTGTTAAACATCCAAAATAGGCAAATTTATAGGAAAAAATAGAATGGTGCTTGTCCAGGGCTGAGAGACTGAGGGTGAATGGGGTGTGACTATTAATGGACACAGAGTTTCTTTTAAGAGTACTGAAAAGAATGTGTAGGAGGGTACTAGGGGTCAAATTTGGGGGAATTTACCATTGACCTACATTTACAATTGACGTAATCATAGGTTATGTGGTGAGCAGTGGACTCAGGATGAAGGGATGCAGAATAGCTAGAAGACGGTGAGGCCTCCTTGTCATTTCTCATCCACAGCAGAGTCCACCTTTCATGAATATGTTGCTTAATGGCTTAGGTGTCTCCTGGGCTTTTTGTATATGTTTCATGACCAATTACTCACCCCATAAAAGGACATTCCCAGTCCTTGTTTTCTTTTTGGTACCTGGGATTGAACCCGGGGTGCTTAACCACTGTACAATATCTCCAGCTCTTTTTTATATTT